TTTCCAATGGATAGTACTGTCACGTTGTTATTTAGGGTTACACGTGAACTTGTGTTGTATTTTGTTTATTAGGGGAATCACTCGCTTGGGGAAATTTTAACTTTATTCCTTATTTGGACTGCTCTACACGTGGGGCTACTTCCTGGCTTGGATTGCCCTCTACGGTGGCTGTAAAAATCCAAAGAATGAAGAAATAATATATTTTTAATAACTGAAGTTTATTCTTTGAAATCGTCGATGAAAGTATATTAATAATCTTATAAACAAACAGTCACCAGTTAAAAATACAATGTAAAATATTATAAAAATATGTTTTAAAGTTATTCCTGGTGACTGTACAGAGGGTTGAACAATTTAGGAAAAATCCCTCTGTAAAATGAAAATCTAAACTTGCCTAGATATATTATAAATCTAAACTACTAATGTTACAGCGGACAGTCTCGTAGCATTAATTACTAAACAGAGAAAATTTGGAAATAAGACATTATGTACAGAGAGGTTGCCGTTATCGAATCACTTAGTAAATTTGCTTGGATATTTCGTACCCGAGTTTGAGTTAAATTCATTTTACAACATTGTTTGGTGGTACTATGTTTTACTTATAACATCATATATATTTGCCCAATAACCACTGATTAAATAAACACTTATCGCTGTACTTGTATGAATGATGTTTTCTCCTTTACCGGATCATTTTCTCCATTACCGAATCACGTGACATAAAGCTGATTATTCTGGTTCGGGACCTTGTAAATTTAAAAATACCTTTCTTACGTAACGTTTTACTATGCTTTAAAATATTTCAAACCCCACCCACCCCCCAAAAAAGTAGAAAAGCTAGGAATTTTTTGAGTTGTTTGCATCCGACAATTAATGTAAAAACAACAACAATGAAATCATAGGGAAAACAAATGACTAGTTGATATAAGAGGACGTAAAAACTTATATGTGCATGATGAACTGCAAACAGCCAAAGAATTAATTTTTGATTCAAAAATTGTACTCATTGAGCTACCGCACTTCCTCCCCATAATTTTGTCACTATTTAGATAGAAAATATATCGCTAGATATATGATTGTGCCCCCTCAAAAAAAAAAACCGTCAGATGACCTTTTTATGCTTGCTTAATTAATTGTCAAGGAATTTTGGTGGTTGATAGTGCTCCTCAACTGAAAATGTATGGCTCTGCACCCCTCCCCCACCAACTGAAATTGCTTCCTACGATCCTAGATTCAGAGATACCTAAAGCTGAAAGGAACAATTATATTTTCAATTCTAAATTTCCTCCAATGAGCAGAGACAATTTTACAAATAATGATGTAGGGATTCATTTGCTGGATTTCTCCATTCCAACATCCACAGTAGACTAAATACCAGTATTCCGATTTATTAAATACTGGAGGTTGTCCTTTCACTTTATATGGGTCTACTTCAACTGTCCATCGTCTCTATAGAAATGAATAAGATAGCTCATTCTCCTCTAGGTGCTTTCATAGTGCTCTTTCTCCCTTTTACGTGAAGACAGTGGTGGCATATATTCCATATAGGCAAAAGGCTGCAGTCTGCATATCATTTTCTCAATATGTAATTTAAATCATATGTTTACTAACTAGTAAATGTTGAAAAAGGGGGGGGGGGGGTATCATAATACTCTGTTTTTATTTAGCTTGATGTATATAAAAATATTGTTAGCAATATGCATTTTATATTATTTTTTTTGATCATGACAAGAAATAAAAATTTATTATTGGAAATATTTTTTTTGGGGAATAGGAAAACTGCAAACGGGGTATTGTTGGAAATAATGATTTAGTAGGGAAGTTTAAATAGCAAAGGGATAAATAAATAAAATTTCTAAATCTTAATTTTGTTTGGTAATCATGACGATTTTTATTTCGCTATCGTCGATGTCTTCACATTAGCTTACATGCACATATATACCACCGGGAGACATTCTCGAATCCACATGCTCTGCACTTCTTACTTATTTTGGCTGCTGATTGTGTTTATGTGTATTTTAACCACCTTTATTGTACGCTTTTGGTAGGCATCTTCTGTTGTTGTTTTTTACTGTAACTGGTGTGCAAAAAACCGCATACGAAAAATTATGATTTGGACAGGATCCCTGCATCTCATATTTCTTGAAACAGCGATTCGTTATTGGAAACCTAAATACCCCCAACTTTAAAGCGAATACTATTAATTTCTGATTTAGAAATTGTATGACGCTTTCAGTGCTTTTAGACACATAATTTTATTAAACATCTGCATCAAATTTGTTTACCTAGAATGTACGATTCACATTGGAGCGGTACCGAAAAGTGAAAGTAGTCTGCTTGCATGTACGCTTCTGGTCAGCGTCACAAAAAAGCTTGTTCATGTTTATTTAAAAATTAGGACATTGAACGAGTTGAATTTAATAATTTCATGATAAATGATAAAAGCAAGAATAATTCAGCATGACAGGGTAGGTTAAGCTAAGTATTGGACTTTGATAAGAAAAATACAGAATTTTCATCTGAAAGTGATTCGTTAACGGGTGCGATTCGTTATTGGCAACCTCACTGTATTTTACACTTTTCTTTTAACTTTAATCATAGATCATTGAAATGGAAACTAGTCCGAACTAAAATCATTTAAATATAAAGGTAATCATAACAATCAAAAGCTTGTGTACTTACAATCTCATCTCTAAAGTCATTTTACAATTTACTTTTCCAGCGCTTTTCGATATAAACAAATAACATTTTTACCTCCTTATATTAAAGAGCGCGCAATGAATATAATGGCGCTAAATTTCAAATTACAATTCTAAGAACGCTACATTTATTTGAGACTGTCGCTAAACCCGTTTATTACAATAAAACGCACAACTATAAACTATACAAATACTAAATGAGGCCACTATGCATAAAACTTATGCAACAATAAAATCTTTAGGGGAAACTTAACTCAAGCTCAAATTTAGAATCAATTTAAGAAATAAATAAAAATACTTATCAATAAAATACTTAATATTTTAAAAATTTATTTATGAGCATAAAAAGAATTGCTTTAATAGAAAATGAAGCAATTAACTAAAAATTATATGATTTACATACCTGTAAAAATCCAAAGAATAAAGAAATAATATATTTTTAATAACTGAAGTTTATTCTTTGAAATCGTCGATGAAAGTGCACACCACCGACGATTCCGCGTCTTTGGATTACAGGATTTTAGCCAATCAAAATTTAGAATTTCTTAATGAATAGCCGAAAGTTGTCATAACACCTAATTTTCTATTTTAATAAAAATTTGTGGGAAGACAGTACCTTAGACCGGCTGAAAAATTATCAAAAATCATACACTATTTTAAGGTTTCACCAAACGTCAACTTGTCCAAAAATTTATTTTTACAGTAGCTACAAAACTATGTGAAGAATAAATTTAAAACTTTTACAGTTTATAAATATATCATTGATTAACAGATAGAATGTATCACTTAAAAACGAATATAAAAACAAATAATTTTCAACGAAAAAAATATATTAAAAAATGTGCACAATTTTTTTTAAAAAAAATACACTGCTTCTGTACTTTTAGTGAAAGCCATCATTGCAGAAATAATTCATTATATTTATCAAAGAAGGGCAAGTTGGACGTGAATGGTCTCTGAAAGGCTCTTATTGAAAGTATGAAATGTATAACGACAAGACCCCTATAGAATCGGCCATTTGCAATGTACTTTCGGTTTCATATCTTTGTAAAAGAATTTTTTTCAATAACTATTTTTTTTAAAGGTATTTATTATCAAGTGATACTTTCTATCTGTTAATCAATGATATATATATAAACTGAAAGTTTTAACCTTATAAATCTAATAGTTCTAGAGCTATTGTAAAAATAAAGAAGATGGGCGCATTTGGCGTGTGATCTCCAGGAATCATTTGTACGAAACATTTATGATTTAAATGTCCATGAATTTGTTGGCAGAACATGTACATAGCTGGTCAGATTTTACAAACACGTCCACAGGGTTTTTTTTTTCCATTTAGTTTGAAATATCTTGTGAGTGTGTAACATTTATGTCCGTTTTTCGTAGGGGGTACCATAACATAGCAATGTTTCACAAAAATAAACACCTAAAATATTTAATGCATAGATGCATAATAAGTGTACATGTACATTATAGAATAGTAGATTAGAATTGATTTCGCTAGAGAATCAAACAGAACCAAAATTACTCTTATTATTTTGATACATCAGTACATAAAACGAAACTGACAAAATAAATGGTTTGCATGAAAAAAAAATTAACGCACCATGCCAGGCTCAACCCAAAATGTTTAGCTTCTAGTACAGTGATCAGGCAGACCTATTTGCTGAGCTGTCACCGCTACACATTTTCAGATGATTTAAAAAGGAAAGAGAAGCACTACATTCACACATTGAAATTATTTGGGGAAAAGTTCATTTTTCGTGGACTCGGGTCTAGATCTTCTCTCCATTTTTTGTGTATTCGTTTCTTTAAATTAAAACACTCACAAATAACGTTTCAAAATCATGGAGAGAAGACCCAGAGATAGAAAACTTTTAGAAAAACGTGTTTGAAAATGTACCATTTTTGTACCAAATGTCTGATCCGGCCAATTTTCAAGTTATTTTTTAGCAAATCAAAGCTTAATTTCGGGAAAATATTTTCCTTTCTTGTTGTACAGGAACCCGATAAGTAAAAAAAAATTATAAAATTTCCTGTGACATGTCGATAAAATTTTCACTTTTCAATTACGCCCAGATTCCTGCCGAATGCCAATCAAAAGCGCCCTCGTTCTTTTTGGACAAGTTGACCTTGTTGAAAACTTAAGTATTTTAAACCTAGTAGTTTGTAAAAAAGGAAATCAAATAAATCTAAAATATATAGATTATTATTAGTTTTGTTGTTTTCTACTACAATCTTTTCCGATATGCACATACAGATAATCGTTATCATTAAAATGCATGTTCGAGTTACGGTCCTTGATATCGCGTTGAGTAGGGGTGTGTGCGTGCTCGGCGATAGCAGAAGTACACGAATTTTAAAACTTGAGAATTAAAATGAGTCAGTCCCCTGTGATACCTAGAAAAGATTCTTTTGGACATCTCACAGATGGAAGGGAGGTTAACAGGTAGTAATATAATGTTAAAAAAAAGTATTTCCATTAAAAATATCAGTGATGGATCTTACGAAGGAACAGTATTGCAATAATTCATTATTTTCAGGTATACTTTTTGTAACCATAATGACGTCACTGTGCGGGTGATTGAGCTGGGCTGTGTCATCACAGAGATCCGGGTTCCTGACAAGCAAGGCGTGGTATCTGATATCAATCTGGGATACGATGATGTAAAAGGTAACCCGACACAATTTTTACTCAGTGATATTTATCAAAATCTTAAGACAAATTAAGGTAATCTTAGTTTTTAGTGATGTTATTCCTTTCCCAGAATACGAGACGAATCTGTTGACTTTAGGGGCAATATGTGGCAGGGTTGTCAATGTTATTTCCAATGCCAGATTTACTTTGGACGGCAAGGAATATCACGTGACTAAAAACTTTGGAAACCATTGCATTCATGGAGGGAAGAAATCATTTACACATGTAGATATCCTAAACATTTAGCTCTTCAAATAAATGAAATTTAAGTATAAAAGTGAAAGAGACATATAAGAATTTTTTCCCCTCAGAATTTGTCCCTTATGTTTTAATGATTAATAAAATTATATCCTTATGTATATATGAAATAAACAAATTTCATTTTCATTTCATGAAAGCAACTCTGGAGTTCGTGGATAGAAGATGATAAAGTGAAAATGAAATACGTAAGCCCTGACGGAGAGGAGGGGTTTCCTGGAGAGTTAACAACCACTGTGTCATATCAACTGACCAATCAGAACGAATTAGTGATCGAATACAGCGCCACCACAAACAAACCAACACCTGTCAATCTTACAAACCACGCCTACTTTAACTTAGCAGGACAAGTAAGACAAGGATATAAAAATCTCTCTGTCAGCTTTTTAAAGATGAAAATTATGTATTTAAACATAATTTTATTTTTTCTTTACTGTGTAAAGAATTTCCCGAACCTAGATGAACACGTGTTACAGATAAATGCAGACAAATTCACACCTACCAAGGAAAATGAGATTTACATACCTTCAGGTAACTTTCAAGATCACGGCGGCTAAGAACGCGAATTATAACATAGCCTAGCTGCCATTAGCATTTAGCAATGTGTCAATCACCTAGTGGCTAGTCAAGTCAAGTTGAAGACAGGCAATATGTCTAACTATAGTCAGTTGCCCTCTTTCTAATTTTCTACTGACGCCTTTTTTTTTTATCTTTTCCGCTGTGAGTTGAACCATAAACAGTTTCCGCGATTGTGTCACTCTAAATTGTGACCAGCTTTAGTCAATATTACTTGAAGTGTTTGACTGTTCTGTACGTTCTGTCTATTTCGTTGGCGACAAGTTTGACATCTGCGAGGATAAATGAATACTTGCTTATGTCTACATTCAGGTGAAATCCGTGACATCACAGGAACACTGTATGATCTCCGTCAGCCGGTCAGACTGGGAGACAGGCTCGGTAAGATGCCCCACGGGAAAGGATATTTCAACAACTTCTGTGTGGCCAATGCTGATGGAAGTCTGAGACTTATAGCCACGTATGTGTGATTCAAACTGTCCATTACCTTTAAACCAGTCTGTCTCTGCACGGTCAAGTCTTGTAGCATATTTTATTCCTTCATTCCAACCATTTAATCCTATTCAATTTCATTCGACTATATGGTTTACTCTCAGTATTTCGTTTCACCAGGTTAGCTCACCCTCCCACGGGCCGCCGTATGGATGTGTACACTACTGAGCCCGGGGTGCAGTGTTACACTGCAGGGGACACGATCCCTCACACCCGGGGGAAGGCGGGGGCGGTGTACGAGAAACTCGGCTCCATCTGTCTGGAGACGCAACACTACCCAGACAGTGTCAACCAGGTACACAACAAAAGAAGAAATTATGTATTTTATAGCTTTGGTTGTTTATTAAATTATTATCTAATTAATAGACAAATCAGTGCGAAAGCCGTTCAAATATAACTGCTAGAAAATGGCGTTTTCTGTACATAAATTAATGTTGTATAAAGTGAAAAGCAACTTTCATTCGCATGTGATGAATACTCCAGCGTTTCTATCTTTAATTCGCGAATATTTATCGCCGTAAACCTTTATGTAGAGAATGTTTACTACTCTGTAGGTCGAAGATAGATCAATCTGGCGAATCACGAAAATAAAAGATGACGCGAATAATACTTAGTTTTCAGTATTTCGCTCCCAAAAGCACGAACTCTTGAATTGTATCGACAAATTCACTTCTTTAATATTTTGAGAACACTTTTCTCTTTTAAAAACGGCATGTCAGCATTGATCAAAATACACCTTTAATAATATTAATGAGGAGAAGGTTGAAATTTAGAATTTACCATTTGCTTTTCTATTTTGAAGGAAAGTTTTCCTGATACAATTCTCCGTCCAGGTCAGCAGTTCTATAGCAAGACGGTTTACAAGTTTGGACTGATAGATTGATAGATTGAAGTAGCCGGAAACACAGCAAAACGGAAATGGCGGATCCCTTTTATGTAATCATGTTTTCTGAGAGAAACTGGAATATTACGGACAAAAAATGAAGGTTTCCTGTAATTATCAAAAGGTGAAGAATTTAAAGGTGGCATCCAAGGAACTATTAATTAAATATATAGGGTAAATCTGAGATAAAACATTGTGGATGGTGTATATTTTATCTGGAAAACATCGTGGTCCACCATTTCTAGAGTTACATGTAAAGCTGTACAGGTGACTGATTGTCTGAGCAGTGGATGATTCCTTTTAACTACAATCAGTAAATGATTGAGTTAGTAAATATAATGTTCTTGTAAATCGAATTTGTAAAATAAAAATTATGGATGTCACCAAAAAATGGTTTTATATTACATGTGTGTATTTGTATTCCTTTCAAATATTCCAATATGTATAAAGCACAAACTATAGTTTTTTTTCTATATGTATGCAGCTGTATAAAGTTAACTTTTATAATTGTCAGTAAAATTCAGTAAACTGATACCTTATACTGAACAAGACTTCGTCAACTGAGCACTACTTCAGTCTTGTAAGGGGAGCGGATCCTATCGGTTTAAGAATCACATTCTGCGGTTAACTTACCCACCAGCAGATTTCTATAAGTGGAAACATTCATGTCGGATTACCCTAATCTCGAATGACCGTGGCTGCTTTGACGTTTTAACATTTATAATCTAGAACGTTAATTTTTAATCTTCATATAGCAGGATATAGGCTAAATAGAAAAATAAATTTTTAAACAACAAGAATGTAATATAGAAACGCTAGAGAAGTACACAAAAAAGAGCAATGGGTAAGTTTATTGTGTTGTATTCTCATAAAAGAGAGAAAAATGTTAAGATAATTGTAGTATTTTAATAATTGTCACTCATAAAAAAGAAAATATATTTCATTCGTAATGTGATGGGAGAACTTTGTCTAAATTTTAGTCATTTCTTCATGAAGAAGAGTTATCATTTCTATTCTTAAGGTTTTAAATTAGTAGTAAGTATATTTGTTAAATGAATTACCGGGAGCAAGCAGATATATAAAGAAAATTTGAAACTATAAATTTTGAATATGAGATGAAAATTTAAACATATACATGTATAAGAAAACTCTTTTGTTAAAGAATAAAGCTTAAATCAAAGTTTAACTTTATCTACAAGAAATACATTTTTACTGTATATATGCATTGCACCGTTTATCAAATGTTTTGTCAAAATTGTGCAAAATAGAATAAAATTTGTATAAAAACTGCAAATAAAAATATTTTGCATGTAATGTTTATTAATACACAATTATATAATAATAAGTATTTGTTTTGTTTTTGGTTAATTAGGAGCTTTCGATTTATCGTCAAAGAACATATTGACGATCCAGAGTATAAGAAGGGGTCTTGGTAGGAAATTGAAATAGGTTTAAAGTGGTAAAAATGTTGGGAAACACAATTTTCATGATATTTCAAATACTTAAGTATGTCTTTGATAGAGATATCTTTATGTTGGGAACTGTAACCGAGGATTTAAATTTGTTTACAAAGTCAGTGGACCTGATATATTGGAAACATTTTAAATCTGTCACTATATATAACATGTTTATATATTTAATAATCCTCAGAAGGTTTTCTTTTGCATAATAGGCTATACTTATTATTTATTAAAGGAAAAACTTGGTACTTGTTTTAGTATATATTTGTGTACTTCTCGTGTGGTATCTACGACTCAATCTGTGGAAAAATTAATTTATCGATAATTATTTATTTATTTTCTTTAAATTTATCAATATACATGCATTTAAAAATTATCGTGGATACATTATATACTTTAGAGTCAAGAGAGCAATTTACTTGAAAAAACATCAAAGATAAGTAATATTTTCACATATACATTGTACATGTACATTTATTTCTTAAGAATCGTAGCATTTTCCAATTTAAGGTCAGACGAGACGTTCCGCAAAGATATATAATTTTCCCTAAGAATTTATCATTGAATTTTAAGTACTTAAGCAAGTTTCCTCACAAAAAATTAGGGTACCTTACCAGGCATTTGGCCAAGATACCATAGGGTTATTTTTCTTATATAAACCTTATTGGTAATCTTCTAAATGGCCTATAAAGCAATTTTTGGTGTGCTTATATTTAAAAACATTTTAAAAACAATGTAGAAATCAGAAGAGAATGACAAATATGAATAATTTTTGATGTAATACCAAGAGATACAAAACATATATTTGAGGAATGTGTCACCTGAATGACCTTAAAAGAAAAAAAAATATTTTTTTTGTTTTCAAGATGGTTCAACATTAAAACGAGGTGTTTCAATTGTTAAACTCTGTGTTCTTATAAACGCTGATGAACATTCCTCGCAGTTAGGCGTTAGACACATTTTTGCAGTTTGTCTGAGAACAGACTTAATTTCTACTTATAGACCTACTGTCATCACAAAAAAAAAAAAAAATTTAAAGACCAATAAGTGCTGAAGGGCTTGTTATATTTTTTAAAAGTATATAAACAATGTTTTTTGCAAACATGAATTAAGAGTTGCGAATGTAGCCTTTTTGATACTTTGTGCTTCTATTTGATATTTTTTTAATTTTTATATCAATTTCCTGTTTCATTCTTTAGCTCCAGCTGATAAGAACGAGTATCAATTGGCGCGAGACTATGGCCTCGATATTAGCATGCCGGAAGCAAACTTTGCCGTGGCTTCCGCCGCGCAGAAGGAGTATCAGAAACAGTGCACCTTCCTGTACCGTGACTTCGTGAAGAATATGAACTCTTACATCAAACAGGAGCAGAAAATCAAAACGGAGCTCCGCAACTTAAAGAAACAAAAAGTTCTGAACAGCCAATACTCGCTTTACCGTACCGATGGCAAAGACTTGTTTTCCAATGCCAAAAAAGAGAGAGAAATGTTGCTTAAGAATAACGAGTTATCAAGTTCCTTCTTTGATGATATGTGTTTTAATCCATGGGGTCTTGATTCCATCATAGACGAAGACTTGATCCGCCCGAAGACTGCTCCGGCGGATGTTAAGGAAGGGGGTCTTCTAGCAGAACAGGATTCTGCAAACATTCCACCAAATACGGAAACAGAGCACGTAAAGCCGCTCTCATTGGCAGCAACACTTGACTCTAAACATGTTGACACTCATGTAGCCAAGGTAGAACACCTTTTAGAATCTCAGTCTCACACAAATCAGCTTGTTCCACCGAAACCCTCAGACCCTCCGAGTCCGACACAAGCGCGATTGCCAGTCAAACCGCCCGAAGTACCAAAAATTGAGCATATTTCTGATGAGCAGGATACAGTGACGGGAGAGAGTGTAGGTGACGGGGAAGTGGACATTCATACGGAGAGAACACGGGCCAGGAATATTGTCATCGACAGATATAAATTCCTTGAGCTCCAGAAAGGAGAAATCGACGTCAAGCTTCGGAATAAGAATGGCGCATTCCTCATCAGACCAATAAAACTGAGCTACGACCCAACAGGTGTTGATGCAGTTTTCATCGCCAAAGATCCATCAAAAGAGAGAATGGCCTTAGTAAGACAGAAAACAAATTTGAGGACTCCAACAGCGTCAGCAGAGTTAAAGATAAACAATAGAATAGCCATCCAAAAGTCTCTTGTTGGAAAAGCGGCCAAAAAGACCACAGTGGCTGAGATCTTTAACAGTGCTAGAGATAGGAAAACACGACACTTCAGAATCATCTCAAAGACCAACAAAGGCGAGGAAAATGACGATGAAGCTAACAAAGACGCCAAAATAAAAATTAGACCAGCTTCTTCTCCTGTGGTCAAAATTCCTACAACTGCAGGAGCTGTACGAAAAAGTAGCGTTCTCAAAAATCGAAAACCAGGCAGTAAGCCACCAATTGTTATCCGAGAAGCTTTCATGGAAAACGTTTCAAAGGAGAGGATGCCTACTGTTTCTAGAGAAATCAATCTGAATGACTCCTGTAATGTTGCTCCAAATAAAGCTCTGTCCAGTTCACGTAATTCTATAAACTTAAACTTACCTGTGAACAAAAGGAACTGTGATTCTGTGAGACCTGTAGCGCGATCTACATCACAAACATCTGTGGAAAGCCACGATCTAAATACTTCTGGTCATCATAGAGTGACATTTGCTAGGAGGGGATCACATGATTTATCACATTTAAATAGATCCGCCTCTTCAGCGTCAATAAGAGAAGGGAATGTTCAGTTCATGATGAGTGATGTTGACATGAATAATATGCTTCAGAGACTGATAGAAGGAAAAGGAGAGGAAGGCGACTACAGTACGATCCAAAATCAGGAGAACCCCATGGATTTACAGGATGCACTGAAAGCTCTGACGTTCATCAAACGTTTGAGTAGAATGTCGAGTCGCAACAAACGGAATTCTCCGTCAGAGGTCGCTTCTAGTACCGGAACAGCCAACACGTTACATCTCCCGCCACGTCTTAACAGCCGACAGGAAACTAACAAACTCATCCGAGATGCAAAACAGAAAGACAGCGAGTACATACAATCCATGTCCTCAATGAGACGCCGGGTGGCGCTGGGGGCCTCCAAATCCAGGACCGGTTTTAGATAATGCTGTAAATGTATTATATTTAGCCTGTACGATATTTGGCGGAAATTGATTTTTTATCAAGTTAGCGTAGATTTGATTTAGCGCATACCTTAATGTTCTTATTGATGTGTATATGTGGAAGACATTAAGCGTTTTACTTGAATTAGCGGAAGTATCTCTCCGCCAAAAGCGCTAAAAAGAATACGCAGCCAAGTATAATACGTTTACAGTAACATTTTGTGAAATATCTAATGTCTAGCTGTGATTGGATTAACCTCAATACGTGAATGGCTAGATGTGTTGATATGTATCGAACAACGCGGCACATATCAGCTCTCCAGATTCCAAGATCTCAAATTGCCTTGATGTTTTGTACCCATTTAGCACATTCTCTGTATTTTGCACACTTTTACCTGTGTAAGAAGGAGTAAATAAAGAATTTTATAGTAACTGATTATCGGTATTTTTTTTTAACATTTAACAAGTATAAGGTAAGACAGAATGTATCAGAATGAGTATATAAAAACTGTAAAAGCACTCGGTAAGATTTTCAATTCCATTGAAACAATATAAATTGGGAGTAGGGCAAACATGGATCTCCAAATCATAGATGGGATCAGGTGCAATAAGAGAGCAAGCATCTCCTGTCAAAAGTCATTTTGTTTGATTAGCAATTTTATTGAATAAGGTACAATATATAAGCATAAATTAACTAGGCATACGAATGAAGAACTTTTGTTAGTCTGGAACAACTTCCTTACAATTTCAGAATATTCCAAAATGGAAAAATAAAATTCAAATGCTTTATCATCGTCGGATAGCCACGTGTGATGCCGTCAGATAATAATTATAAGACAATATCACCCTTGGGTATCCATCGATGATGCTATATTTGCAAAAGAGTAGGTTTGAAATATTTCAGGATAAGATACACTCGGTATCTTTCACATATCGTATAAGTGAAAATTCTAGCGAAACGCAAATTTAGCGATTTGTCCTTAAAAACTGGTATTTTATTGTTAGCGGGATGTAATTTTAGCGATTTTAGAAAGATCACTATAGAAGCTATCACAAATAAAGTGCAATTAATTTTTAGCGATATTCAATTTAAGCGATCTTGGCACCCTCGCTAATAATGCCAAAATTCAATCCTCGTTAAAAATTCTACTTATACGGTACTTGTTGTTCATTGCATAATAAAAATCCTACATGTAATTAATGTAATTAGTAACTTTGTTAACGGTTTGTAACAGAAAAGAAAACATGGATATTTTGAGATTTAATAAAGAAAGAAAAACAACACGAAAACAAACAAATTAAAAACAACCAAAACAAACATTATCTTTTTTATTTATATCAAACAACGTTTCTCCAAAAATAGTTGATGAATCTTTCTTTAATCTATATGAAATAGAGTGCAAAAGGTACTAGTATGTCTTTATTGTATTCTGCAAATATACAAGGCCACAAAGAATCCTATTACAAATGGACAGAATCACATTCATTTGTGGATCATTTCCCTCCCGTGTTTTAGAGATTAATAACACGGGCAGACACCGAGACTACATCCAGTTTACCATCTGAACAACGTGAAACTAGGGCAAAGGTTCAAAATATCAAAGGTTCAAATAAAGTCAATTCTAAGTTGATAATAGGACCTACTAGTATATGTACATGTATATACAGTACCTAATACACCTAACACCCCTTGAGATATTTCAGTTTTCCCTTCATCTGAAACATTAAGTTACTGCCCCGAAGAAAAAAAAATAAGAATATAAAACCATTAGATATAATTTACCACACATTCCTTGTTGTAACATTGTTCCTGCTCGCTCTCTCTCTCTCTCTCTCTCTCTCTCTCTCTCTCATACCCATCCTCACCATCGGTATTTGAAAACTTTATTTGCTATCACCCGATCCCAGTGAATATTATTCCATATCTCTCAAAAGACAGGAAGTAGAATAGACAGTAGCTGATGACTAGCATAATTATGTTTTTTTTTTCTTTGAAAGTGTTGAATGAACATAAAGTATATACTAAGTAATCTAACTCTTTGGTTGAGTTATTAAACTCTAGCGTTAATTCTGGTGAAATCCTTCCTCCCTACACCTTATAAAGGCTAATAAGATGCAGGTATATCTAGAGATTGAACGTTACCAAAGTAATATGGATAAACAGAAAAACACTCTCTCCAACTCTCTGATGACTGTCCGTGCCCACTGTTTGTATCTGTGTGTAAAGGGAGATTACTGTTCTCACTAGCTGCAGCTTTGCACACCTAATCCCTAATCCCTTTAATCCATATAAACTCCAGATGCCCCGACAATGTGCATTGTTTGTCTTAATTCTTTTGTAAGTGCCAAATAAATAATCAGTTGTTTCATATGTTTAGTTAAGGAAACTCCATAATGGGTAAGGCTGTTTTTATATATTTTATTTAGTATATTATATTGACAATCTTGTTATTACAACAAAGTTTTATCATCATATGAAACGCAATTCATTGTCTTTACTCAGACTAAAGATTAAACTATGACCAGTATGATTAAATTTTATATAAACAGGTTCGTATGCCTTAGTATCTATTTTTATTTAAGGGTATTTATTATGATCCAGAATATATCTCGACATATGAATTGACGCGTTATTAGATTTATTTCACTATTATATAAAACGCAGTTTATATTAATAGTGTATCATCGATAATGTGTAAATTTACAAGGGATTAAGTTAATATTATAGGAAAATACATGTACATGTATTCTACTGAAATAACCGCTGAAGAATCTTAAAGATTTTTCTTTAAGATGGAATCTTTAAGACGTATACGAGCTGTTTTTTCTTTACATTATACAATTTATATAATGCTTCCTCTTTACAGGCAATTCTTTATTACCTACTTTCCCTCAAGCCTATTTACATGTATTTCTATGAATAACAGAGATTCAAATTATCTTGTATCATTCGTAGGTTATAAAGTCTAAAAAACCTTCAATATTTCAGCTCCCACAGAGAAAGATTCCTATGATTTGGCCCGGAACTATGGCCTTGATATTTCTATGCCAGACGTCAACCTTGCTGTATCGACAGCAGCTCAGAAAATATACGCCAAAAAGTGCAACAACCTCTACAAGGAGTTCCAGAAGAAGCTCTCCTTCCTCATCAAGGAGGAGCAGGTAGTCCGCCGCGATCTGATGAAGCTGAAGAAAGAGAAGGCGGTGAACAGCCGATATTCCCTGTACAGAACAGAAGGGGCGGATCTCTTCTCAAAGGCCTGTCAGAAACGTAAGACGTATAGAGAGAATAACCTGGCCACGATATCACCCCTCCTCGAGGACTGTTTCGACTTCACACCGTGTGGGATCGACTCGGTGATAGCAGAAGAGGATGAGACTGAAGAACGGCCCAAAACTGCCCCCGGTGATAGTTCTCAATCGCCCGAGAATAAAATTGTAGTTGCTGAAGTAGATTCCATGCTGGAGGACAATAGACCCAAAACTGCAGGGATTGCACTAAAAGAAAATAAAAGGACATCAAAGACTGATGTTAAATCCAACATCATTAAACCTCGTGAAAGGATTAACTCTGAACCCGATCATAAAGATAGTAAAGGAAACGAAAGAAAGAGTTTTGAAGATATAAAACTGCCTGAACAGAAAATTGCTCAAATTGATCGACTTTTGAAATCTGCTAGTCAAGTGAGATCCATGCCCATGGACAATGAAATGACGTCACTTCCTGAATTGAAGGCGGAGGAGGAGACTGACAAGGACGATGGAGAAGTTGATGTTCAGACTGAACGAACAAGGGCAAGAAAAATTACAATTAAAGCGGAGAAATTTCTTGAACTTGAAAGGGGCAAAACTACTGTGACTTTAAAAGACAAAGAGGGTGAATTCATTCTGAAACCCTTAAACATAAATTATGAGCCAGACGAGGTGGAGGCTGTTTTCTTTGCAAAAGATCCAACCCGAGAGAAAATGGCTTTGGTACGTCAGAAAACGAGTTGGAATTCACAAACAGTAGCTTCAGATCTCAAAGTCAATAACAGAATGGCAATTCAGAAATCGTTAATGGGATTGAGTTCAAAGAAGACAACGGTGGCGGAAATTTTCAACAATGCAAGGGACAGGAGAACTCGCCATTTTAGAATTATGCTTAAAAATCCTTCTGTAAACGCCGAAAATGAAGGAGCTGAAAAGGAGAGAAAGAAATCGATTATTGTAGTACCCCCTGGTATGACCAAGTGGAATTCCCTTGCCGTTGCTACCAAGGAATACTCGTCTTTGAATTCCAAAGAAGAGAAACCACCCACTTCAACAGCTGTACATCTCTACAAACACCAGAAAAAGCTTGTTTCCAAGCAGGACCCTAAACCTTCCACCAAACCTACCAGAACAACCGCGACAAGGCCCCATGTAAAGTCGGAATCCGAGTCGCCCGCGAAGCCAGAGAGTGTCCCTATCAAACAACAGCTCCGGGTAACCATCACTTCACCTAGTGGTGCAGACAAGAATGTGCAACCACCAACAAAAAACAATAAAAAGGGAAGCGATGATCATTCTGAACTTTTCCATCGAGTGAAACATGTCCCAAAAGGACTAGACAATAAACCGTTAAATCGATCTTCGACATCAATGTCACACCGAGAAGAAATCCCACTTCATCTCTCAGATAGAGATATGACTGACATGATACGGAAAATGGTGGAGGCAGATAATGATACCCGAAGCGAAGCCCCGGATGTTAAGAAAAGAAAAAGTGGAAATCGATTGCAAAAATCTTCAACAGGCGACAATTTATCTGAAACAGATTCTATATACTTCGGCAACGTACGGCGACTTCTGTCTAGCAACCAGGCTCGTCAGATTATTAAAGACCTCAAGAGGCGTGACCAGGAATATGATGACGCGATGCTTAACATGAGACGAAGGGTCGCCATTGGTGGCCAGGGCCACAACTTCATGAGACGCCCCAACAGTGTGGCGGGTTTCAGATAGGTCAGAAATTTAGGAAAAGTCCTAACAGTGTGGCTGGTTTTAGATAGTTCAGAAACTTCAGGAAATGTATCAACAACCTTTCAAGATTCACGAGTCACAGGCCTTCAAAAGACGCTCTAAGAGTACGACAACATGCAGATAATAATATAACTGTGTCCAAAAACTACAATGTAAACTCCTACTACACTCTCTAAGGAGATTAGAATCTAATGACATCTTTGTACCATAGTTGAATAAATTGCGTCTAAAGAATTTCCTGGATTATAAAATTTTTCTTCTGCTTTCTATTTAGTGATAAAGGTACAAATAATTAGGATATTGTCGTCTATAAGACTAGTATTGAGTAAATTTTATTTTTGTGAATTTCTAAATGAATTTTCAACAAAATTTTAAAAGGACATTTAAAAGTTTCAAATTTTAAGTGGCTTTAATGAATTATTTTATTTTCAAATTCGTTTTATGGCGTTTTAAAATTGGTGTTAATGTAATCTTTCCACTTGACGGAATTTGGTGACTCGATTTAAAAAACGCCTTGTAAAAAAATTAATTTGATTTAAAGTAGCTTAGAATGTGTTGAATAGCTTTCAATGTTAACTTTTCTATAAAAAAAAACATAGAAAAATACCTGCATTCGTTAGTCAAAATTTAAGTAAGTTGTAATTTTGAAGTCAATTACATTTCAACAATGAAATGCTTTCAGCTGAGTTAAGTCCTAGTAAAAAAAATCTAGACTACTGTATCTTTCTTCCTCTCGAAAAATTAAAAAAAACACCTCTTACAGGGTATAAGTATAAATTGATCATCCTGATACTGACCAAAACAGCCTTCAGCATGTTCAGTTGGTTTTTTTTTTTTTTTTTTAATTGTAAGATTCTAAGTTTAATTTTTTCAATACCACACACACTAAGATTGACCTTTTGCCTATTCCAGTTTACTTTCAATCGTGGTTTGACTCTTGTGTATGCAATTATTAGACAGTGAATATACCAAATAAATAAGAGACCGTTTGTATATTACTATGTAAATTATTAAAATTTATTTTACCTTAACCATTGAAAAAAATGTACAGTAATATTCATTACGAATTTAACGTAATGAAATACATGTAAATACATTGGACGGACTAATATTTCCAAATGCTAGAAAATGACTAGTTTCACTAGTTGGAGTTAATTCCTTTTTGTCTAAGATAAGAACAAGTTTGCAAGGTTGACCACCACTTCGTCTGATAACTATCTTCCTCCCCAAGTTCACGTAACGCAAGTTCTTTTGCTTTCATTAATCCGGCCGTAGAAACAGTTTTAAGCCATTTCTCTAGTTTCATTTTCTCTTTCTCAAAGTCTGACTTTCCGTCGTCTTGGTTTTGTGAATCATGTGTTGGAAGATCCTGCTTTATTGCAGTGAATACATTTCCCTTCCCTGGTGCAATGCTACCTAAAAGTGACCTCTCTTTCTGAGACATGGTCCACTGACCAGGATCAGTCGTCCGTGGCCGAATGTCACGTGCAGCCTCCACTACTGCACTATGTGTCGTTAAGCACTGGGCGGTGTTCATGTTTCTTCGGTTGGTGATTTCTGCTAGACGAACGATCCAAGGACTAGCGCGAGATCCAACGTGCTCTTGCTGAGCACTCTGTTTCCGATGAGAATAAAATTCTTCGGGGTGCTCCTGAACGTACTTGAGATAATAAAGAAGAGGTTGATAGTCTACACGAACGTCGTCTTCATCGTCACCAAGTGCCTTTTTCTTTTGTCTCGAGATTTTTCTAGAACTTGTCGGTTTGTTCGGAGACGTCTGTGCCTCTTGTAGTTTTGATATCACGGTATCATCCTCATCCTCGTTTTTGTCAATTTCACTCTTTGTGTCCACGTCACACTCACTTTTATTGTCCTGAGTTGTTTCTTGGATGATTTCCCGAGCCACTGTATTCTCGGCAGCTTGTTCTTCTGGGACGGGGTTTTCGAGCTGCTGACGTCTTTCTCTCATTTCTCTTTCCTTTCTAATCTTTTCAGCAACTCGTTGTTTCATTTGCTCCATTCTGTTCGTGGTCTCAGCAGTTTCCAAGCCAGCGTCTTTCAATGCTTTATCATGGCAATCAAAAAAGCTCTTTCTTGGCAAGTACCATTCCAGTTCGGCCTTTGTGAACTTGAACGGGTCACTGTGGGACCTATTCATTTTCGACTTAGGTCTTTCCACTGCTGAGTGTGATCTCCTTAGATCCTGTTTTTCTTTCAATAATTTTTTGTCCTCTACACAAGAAAATGAATGTCTGCTAGATCTTCTAGGTGAGGACATGAAAGTACCGCTGGATCTACGTAGTTGCGTACTTTTGTTTGAAGACTTTTTGTAAGAACTCCTGCTGGAATTCCTAGTTTCTGCTTTCTCTTCGCTTTCTTCGACTATTGTGTTAAGGTCGTTCATATTGCCTTTCATTTCGCAAATATCGTTCATATCCTTCTTATTCGATTCTGGTGTGAAGTTCTTTTCTACAGCGCTATCCACGTTGTTGTCATCTGAATCCGTTTTAACATCAGTATTTTTGTTTTCTGTGTATGTCATTAACTGGCTTTCTGAGGAATTTTTACTCCTTGCTTCTAGATGTATATCACTCTTTAAAACTTCTTCAGCACTTAAGTTTTCACTGTCGTTTATCCCTGAATGTTCTATCGCCTGACTGGATTCACTGATTGAACCATTAATTTTATTGGTTCGGCTCTCTTCAACTATTACCACTTCACTGACACTATTGCCCAGTTGGTCAGATTCACTAGTGTCCAGATCTTCGTGGTTGTAATCTTTCTCGTTAGAAGCTGCGGGAATAACTATGGTTTCTTTCTTTATTTTTGGATTACTTCCACGATTTCTCTGGGATACCTCTGTCTTTTCTGTGCCGGAATTTTCATCGTGCTGTTTTGTTTGTTTTAAATGTCTTCGAGGACAACTTACTACTGACTTCTTTTGTTTCATGGCTGTCACTTTATACCTTCCTTCCTAAATCCAGCTCAGGTTTCTTTGTTTAGTGTTCCTCTGTTTTCATTAATATTCATAACTCACATTGTAACCATTTGTGAATTGTCCCAGTCCAAACAGTGACTGACAATACCGCTATTGTCCTTCCGAAAATAATTACTCCTCTGTGAAAATTCTTGCGCTGTTTAAAGTTTACGGGTTTAGGGTTATTATCAGATGAAATCTATCCATATAAGTCCTGTTTATACTAGAGATATAGGTGGAAGATAAGTGTCTTGTTTCGTAACACTTTCCTTCGATCGTCAGTTAATTCTGCTTGATCTCCTCAATCACCATTTCTCCTCCTGGCACCGGGAAAAACCCTTCTTTTGGAGAAAACCGTCTCTTCGTTGTTTTTTTTTTTTCTAAACACAAGCTGTCCTTCTCAAACGCTAGGTAAACTAAAAAAAATGAAAAAAGTTCTCAATTGATTGTTTTCTTTGGTAATTGGTTTAAAGTTGTGGAGTTAAAAGTGTTTGATTTAGTTTCGATTATATAAATAACGAAGACATAAACAGGCGTATTTTGGCGATTAAATCTTGTCATTTGAAACATAAATTGGAGTTATTTTGACATTTAAAATGAGAGTCGCCTGGACGATAATGTCTTTTATAAATATTTACCTACACTATATTAAATGGGTTTGTAGTAGACAGAATGAAATACTTCAAACCTACTGAAATAAAACCTGGTAGTGAGATCTAGATTAAGGAAATACTTAGACATAATGAGTTTGAGGAATTCCTGAACTCGAAGTCTCTGTCAGGAGATATTTTTATTTGTTTTCTCAAAATCAAAGAGAATCGAGAATTTTCAAATCAAATTCTTCAAGACGCCGTGAAAAACTCGAATACAAGATATTGTCGGTGAAATAATTTTTTTGTGTTCGTGTCGATATTTAAAGATATAGAAAAAGTCTTCTATTATTTTTCGAAAATACAAATCTGTACTCGATTTTTATTCTGTCAAGTTTACGCAAAATAAATTGAATTGCACCATAACAACTGTGTTCCTTCATGAATATAAATGTCTCAGGGATTTTATTTTCGAATTTTTTTTTTCTTTTTTTTTTTTTTTTTGAATTGATAAATAAAAGTTTTTAAAAATAATTTCGAAAGACATTTTTGTTGTAATTTATCATTAACAAATATTATCGGATGTTTTCCTTAAATTAAAAAGAGAATAATTGTTTTAAACTTACTTCAATTTCCATTCCTTCCTGGGGTTTCGATATCACTTTTAACTTTAATGAATGACCTAAATCTCAGTTTAATTTACAGATTATTTAACCACCGTAGAGTACAAGAAGAAACTGGTCAATGTCCCTGACACTTTAAATCTCCACGGGGAGTTAATTATTTCACTTCATGTGGTGGGGTGAATCAAACACTTCATCAGGAACGTCAAATTAAAGTCAATAACAGATTTATTTTTTCTCAATGAAAGTCATTTCAGGGTTCGTTAATTTTCTAAGTGAATAGATATACATGTAGATATATCGATAAATGCTGAACTGACTTGGATTTTGACTGAATTTCAACAATATTTAGATTTAATCCCCGATTTCTTGTTCATCTAAAAAGAGTATATAATTGTATTTTTTTTCCTTAAAATTATATATTTGAGAAAATAATTTCTGCCTAAGTTTAAGGCTACCAACATCTTGGAAAAAAGGACACATTAAAATGGTTTTTAACTGATCAAATATCATTACTGCAATGTGAAGTTAACTCCAGGCAATATTACACAAACATTTCCGCATTTAAAAAAGTATATGTGATAATTATATGAGTGTAATCGGTGCAAAAATATCAAAAAGAAGTTATTTAAACTGAACAAATATCGATCAAATCCTATTGATCTACAAAGCATTGAAAAAGTAGCAATTTTCATAAGAAATTGTGCACATCTAAACATTTTGTACGAGGAGCGAAATTAAAATATGAAATAAATTATTTCTCGTACATTGACCCAAAACTTCAAAAGAAAAAAAAGGGAAACGGTAAAAACTATACATCTTACCTCAGTCGAAAAATATTAAACTCCTATATTCTTCTATATATGACAATTTTTTTGCTGGTTTTCTTTGCCTGTACTCTTGTATGACAAAAATCTAAAGTACACTGTCTATTTGAACAATGTAGAGTTATCAGGGATTGGACTGTTAGAATTAATTCCTTGGCACGTCCGAACCCTCAATTTGTCATCGATTCCCCTCGAGGACTTGACAAGTTATGATCAAATTTTACTTATCGGCAGAAAACAGTCAGAAAAAGCACGTCTAATACAGAAAGTCGACCTAGTCCTGTCAATTTATCAGATGGATTTTAAAAAAATAAAATACTTGCCTCGCCGGGGTCTAATTAAGAAGTCTTGTATGCACTCCAGAAAGGTTTGAAGACCCGGGGAGGGGGAACACTTTATATGGTTTAAGTGTCGTATATTTCTTTGACTTTTAATAAAGAAGTTATTTATGCGTTAATATTACTGAATGTCAATATCGACATGATATACTTTCTTATAACTTGCAGTCAGAAATTAAATGCGACTCTGACAAATAGAAATAGTGTGGGAATTTCATTTTGAATACATTGTGCGAATTCTGAACCAAACCTAATCGCTATGATGCGCTTTTAACTATATGTGTATATGGGGGGGGGGGGGGGGCGGCTTGTATACTACATGTTTATGCTATATTTTGGTAGCATGTTTATAAGTCTTATAGCAATGTTTACAGTTTAACTGCAAATATTGATGATGCTTATGTAGATGTTATATACTATTCACTTTGTCTGCATCTTCGCTAGCCAAGATTGGCGATCCGCTCCTCTTTACTTGATAGAGAAAAGTGAAGATCCGCCCGTCTATTCTATTCAGAGAAAGGTGACGACCCGCTCTTCTCAGAGAAAAGTGGAGGGGAGACGGTCAAAAGTTGGATTGTTTGCTATGACATGTTTCATATATATTATGCAAAAAATCAGTCGGCTTCATATAATTACGTGTTTCATATCACTTAACATATAGTTGAATATATGTGTACCTAACATTATAAATATCATCTGAGAGAGACAAAAATTTTACACTGACGTCTCTACTTACAGGTACATGTATCAGTAAAAAAAAAAAAACAAAAAAAACAAAAAAAAAATCTACTACTTGAACATTATTTTGCAATAGGTATTTAGATCATTTTATCAAGGGTCAAGACCAATTTAAATATTTTAGGAAATGTACATTTTTACAATGTAATGTATATAGAGATCTTTGGTTCTAGTATATAATAATTGTAATATTATATCAATTATAATAGAACAGAACAGAACATTTATTTCTAATTTAGAGCCCATAACAGACAAGTATGAGGTTGTTACAATAATAAGGAAAAGATAAGCCAATGAATAGCAAAACAATTATACAATTAGTAACTGACATAAATCATTTCAATAATAATCCTGTCTAAAAGGAATACATCAAATATGCATGTATATGTAAAAGACTAATACTACTATAATATGTTATCATTTATGCCCACAAAATTAAGAGTTTCCTTATCTTCTGTATACTGAGTAACCAATAGAGTTTTTGTTCATCATCTAAAGCTGAAAATAATGGAAATTTATGATTAATTAACTGAAATATTTCTTTTCTTTGATGATCAAATTTTATACATGTTATAAAAAATGAGTTTCATCATCTATGTTGTTAGAATTACATCTATTACATAATCGATCTTCTCGAGGAATATTGGTAAATATGTAATCTATGACAGGAAATTCTTAATTTACATAAAGACTTTCTGTGATGAAAATTTTTAACAACTGATAAATAATTCTCACAACCCCAATTTTTTTGAGTTTCACATATGTGGATAATTTGCCATCGGCATAACTTTTATGACTTGTATACCATTTCTTCACATAATAGTCTAATAAAATTTTATGACAAAATGACTTAAATTTATATTTCCCATAACAAATAACTTCATTTTTAATATTCAGTAATTTTCTTAATTTCTGTATAAATGCAAACCATGAGTTCTTTCCATTCACAAAAAGCTTTTTACTACATTCATATGCATCTTTAAGTAAAGGAAATTCTATGGACAAATTTTCAAATCTATACCAACTTTTAATCAACAACCTGACAATATCATAATGCAGGGGGAACCTTCCCAATTCAGACAGTACTGCAAAATTTGTGCTTTTCTTTTGAACGCCGAGAATATATTTACAGAATTTAAGGTGTATTCTTTCACAGGTAGATTTTTAAAGCAGTCTTCAACTGCTAAATTTTGGCAGTTTAGAAATTTTTTAGTATTTATATTACTTGCACCCCACACCTCTGCATTATACAAAAGAATTGGTTTAATGGTAGAGTCAAACAGATGTATAATGGTTTTAATCCCAGGGTTCAAATCAATAAAATCCTTTCTTAACTTATAATATGCTTTTAATGCTCTTTTATAAAGCTCTAATCTTGCTACATGAAAGCTTCCAGATACACTTAGGTGGACTCCAAGATATTTGTAGCTATAGGCACATTCTATCATAGTATTTTGAAACTTTAGTTTTTGTGTAATATTACGACCAGCCTTATTAAAGATCATGACTTTTGTTTTTTGAATGTTTACCTTTAAACACCAATCAGAGCAATACTTTTCAAGTTTAGCGAGTCTTGCTTGTATACCTTTAGCTGATGAGGATAAAATAACAATGTCATCTGCATACATTAAACAATTAACAGTTTGTGTCTGAAGCGATACTTCATCAATACATGAATCTAAATATGCTGGATATTTTAAATAGGGAAGGGCTCAAATTATCCCCTTGACAGGCGCCTATAGCTATTTGAAATGGATCTGATACTATAGAACCGCGGTGTTTTTTTACATAAAAATGTTTGAGAGAAGAAAGTGATGTCTGTAGATTTTCAACTTCCAAAGGGATGACTTTTTTTTATTTTATTTTATTTATTTATTTATTTTTTTTTTTTTTTGTTTGTTTGTTTGTATGGAATGCCATATACGACAGCCAACTGCGTACTGCCAACTGCTCACTGCTTACTGCCAACTGTCAGCTGCTTACTGCTAACTGCCAAACAAATTTGAATAAATTTTCATATTTACGTTGATATTCAGGTGAATTGTCAAAAAAATACAAAAAAACAAACAAAAAAAGTCAGAAGGCGTGGATCAAGGATTTTCTCCAGGAGGGATCCACCCCAGTAAAAATAAACCCAATTTAGACATTTCTTGACAAGAGAAATAACGTAAACGTGAAAAATTATTCGGGGGGGGGGGTGTTATGCTTTCATATTTTCACATCTATGACTTTCATACAAATTCACTGAACACGTTTTTTTTACTTTTTTTTTTGGGGGGGGGGGGTCCAAGGTCACCAGGTCAGTTTTAGTAGGTTTAGTTTATACATAAAAAAAATGACTGTGTACAAATTATAAATGGGTGGTCCCCCCACCTCAGATCTGTGCACGTGAAATGTTATGGCACAAAGAGATAAAACACATTGTTCATTTAATTCATTTTCGTGAGCATTTGAAAATCTGGTGATTTATCATCCTGGTACCAATTCAAAAATTCCTAAATTCTCCAAATTTTCTTATAATTGTAAGAACTACGCACACTAATTCTCGATTCCCGTCCATCCATCTGTTAAAAAAAAACTTGTTTGAATGCAAAGAAAAATTCTTAAGTTATAAGAACTCATTCTAAAACCATTGATAAAAAAAAATAATTGTTCTTATGTACAACTCCATTAATAAAGGATAGGAAATTTTATCAATTGAAATCAGACTGAACATATCATTAGATTTTCAAATACTAATGAAAATGGATAAACGACTCCTTAATCTCACCGTATGTTTAAATTATGTAAAATTCAATATATGAGATTGATAAAGTATAGATTTTTTAAATTATCTTATTAAAAGACTAGTTTCCTGTCTTTATTCCTTATCGGGGGCCCCCTAATGAGACAAAAAAAAATCTTTGGAAAGAATAAAAAAATGGAAAATGTAATTTGTTTTTGTTGCAAAGGGGAGATATTATTTTGAAAATTAATTTCAATTTTCCGTAAACTAATTTCAATTTTCCGTAAATTAATATCAATTTTCCGTTAATTTTTATGGTAGACATTTGAGCATTTTTCTCAAAGATTTACATCTCTTTATTTTTACAGAATAAGGGGGGCCGGACCACCCCTTTGAAATTGTTATTCAATGTACAAACAAAACCAACTGAAATTTAATATATGATGTATTTATAAACTAAACCAACTTAAGGGGACCCCCCCTCTCGAAAATGCCGATCCGTGTATGAAAAATTTGATAAAGACATTAAGTATAAGAAGCCCTCCCGCCTCTAGCAAAAATAATTTTTCACGTATAGGAAATGAGTTTAATTTTTTTTCTTGTCAAAAATTTTCTGTTTTTTTTTTCTTTTTCTTTCTTTTTTTTTTTTTTACATGGGTGACCCTCTTGAAAAAAAAATTCTTGGATCCTCGCCTTGTTTGACAATTCACATGAATATCAAAATGAATATGAAAATTTATTCAAATATGTGTGGCAGTTGGCAGTAAACCGCTGACAGTTGGCAGTAAGCTGTAAGCAGTTGGCAGTAAGCAGTTGGCTGTCGTATATGGCATTCCATACGTTTTTTTTTTTTTTTTTTTTTTTTTGCAAGTGTGTGGCAAAGGTAAACTAAAGGACAAGCGAAACTTATCGAAAATGATGATTGAAATGACTTTTTCGCTATATTTTCAACAGTCTTGAGTACAGTTTAATAAACAATCACTGACCTATTTTTTTTTTATTTCACATTCTGTATCCATTACCAGATGTGCATATTTGTCTGTTCTGTGCTCTAAATTAGAAATAAAATGTTCTGGTCAGCTGTTCTGTGCAGTCTTTTTGGTTTGTTAAAGGTACACCACAAAATGATTTGCCTTTGAACATAATTATATAGGCTAATACTCTTAGGTGTCTCAGCTCTGCTGTGAAGACATTTGTTAGATAAAACTATTTCAGAACTGTTGTATACCATACAGACCAGCCATGCACGTAGCATAGTTTTTGAAAGTGGGGGGGGGGGGGCAGTTATCTGAAAGAGTTGACAAGCAAAAAAGAAAAAAAAAAAAAGGAAAAAAAGAAAAGTTTCCCAAAGTCCAAAATCCTATTTGGGGGGGGGGGGGGGGCAACATTTTGTTTTTAAATACCAACTTCTTTCAATGCACGTTTTTTATACTACATTTTCCTTAAAGCTTCTATCACAAAAAAAGTTGGGAGGGGGGGCAACCTGCCTTTCAATGCACATTTCCTATAGTATAAGTAATGTTGCGAAAAAAAAGTGGAGAGTGGGGGAGCAGCCCCCCCCCCCCCCCCCCTGTTGCTACGTGCCTTCAGACCATTCCAGCAATCTTTCTGTCGACTGAGAAATGAAAGATAACTGCACACTACTCTTCAACTTTAGAGACAGAAATCGTCCATAAAATAAAGTGAAAGTAGAATTTCTTGTAAACATTCGGTATGGCGTCTCGCAGTTTATCAGGTAATTTTACATAAAATACTAAATATGGTTTTGCGTAGCACTGTAGATTATGATAGTATGAAGAATGGTAAGTTTTATGTATAATTCACTCGTATCTAAACGAAATAATTTGGTTGTTTTTTAAGGATCTTATGGCTGGACATGTGCCTTTCATCAGCATTATACCACAGCATTTTGTTGATTGATTTTACAGTACATGTTGATGTTTCAATAAATTACGATCTTTCCTTGTAGACTCGGACTCCGAACCCGATGATGCCCTACACATTGGATTTAACAATGATGACACAAACTCTGACCAACCTCCCACAAAGAAGAAAAAAGTGGATAATGCGGGGCTATACAACGATTTCTCCGCCAGGATGATGGTTGGTTACAGAGCAGCAATGCTGCTATTATTTACATTCATTTCTAATCTATCATTGCAAAGTAATCAATAAAAATGTAATTTTATTAATTTCTGTGCATATATTATTGTGCATGTTTGAAATTCAGTGTTCGAAATTGACAGGAATGACAGAAACATAGTAGTTGAGACGTTGGTCTTTGAGATAAAAAAGTTCAGCTGTATTTGTTTTATTTATTAACAGGCGAAGATGGGTTACAAGGAAGGCCTGGGTCTGGGTAAGGAGCAGCAGGGACGTGTAGAGATCGTGGAGGCATCCAACCAGCGGGGCAGGAGGGGTCTGGGTCTAAAAATCAAAGGACTGGAACCCTCGCAGGAAGTGGACTGGGAGTTCGAGACAGAAGAGGTGTTATTCAGTATTTCTGTTGTAACATCATTGAAAAGTCAGTTAATTTTATGTACAGAACTCAGTAGTTTAGCTTTAAACTTAATTATCTTGTTTCTGTACTAAGAGAGATGCACCTTTTGCAAATCTTAAAGATCTCATGCAGTTACTACGGCAAGCCTGTGGGGCAAACCAAAACTAAATAAATTAATAAAAAGTATATTTTTGGAATTTTTAATTCAATTTTAAGATAATTGAAAAAGAAGAAGTATCTTGGATTCCAACTTGTGCTGAACCAGTTCCCAGCATTGAGATACTGAGAGAGTGGAAACATATTGGAAAGGTGAAAATCGATTTGAAAGAATAAGCTAGCAATAATGAGGCATACAAAACCTATTAAAATGTAGATGCAGGAATATAAGCTATTCTGGTATATTCTCTTTTAATTTCAGAAAAAATTAACAATAGATGACGAGGCAGAGTTTTGTGATGAAGATGTTTTATCAGCTATTTTAAACAGCAAGGTAAGATTGTTATCAGAATTAGTGGACTCTGATTTAATACAAAAATGTGCAAATTTTACAGCCAATAATGTGTCGGTGGCAATGAACACATGTTTTAAATGTTTTGTTGACATGAATAATCTTATAAGTTTATTATCGTTTCTATGCTAGAATGTGTTTGATGAGCTGGAGCCAGAGGAAATGAGGAGAGCCCGGACACGATCAAATCCTTACGAAACAATCAGAGGGGTCTTCTTTCTCAACAGGTAAATCATGTTAACAGGGCAGTTCTCTGCAGATTATTTATCTTATAGAGTTGTCTTTTTTTTCTCATTCAAAGATTTCATTTTTCTTGTTTTTGAATCTTCTAGATCCTGTATGATTATGAAATTAAAATACAATGTTTTGCAAAATTTGTGTAGGTATTAAACTAATTTATTTTTTGTCTTGACAAAGTCACCTTTTAAGGAATAGATAATCTTATCAAAATAATTCTATTATGTTTTTCAGAGCAGCTGTCAAAATGGCAAATATGGATACCATGTTTGATTTCATGTTTACTTCACCAAAGGATAATAGTGGGGTAAGGGTTTGCCTCACAATAATACTTAAATATGACGTAATAAAATTCTCCCACTATTACATGTTCATGTAGTTCATTAAACATTATCTCTATATACAAGAGACCAACGGTGCAGCCATCAGATATCACATTCTTGTTTTTCTCTGATTTCTGTATATCTATGCTGACCAAAGATCCCCTGCTGAAGCCATCAGATACCCTTTTTAGCTCACCTGAGCCGAAGGCTCAAGTGAGCTTTTCTGATCAAAATTTGTCCATTGTCTGTCGTTGTTGTAAACTTTTCACATTTTCATCTTCTTCTTAAGAACCACTGGGCCAATTTCAACCAAACTTGGCACAAAGTATCCTTGGGTGAAGGGGATTCAAGTTTGTTCAAATGAAGGGCCACGCCCTTTTCCAAGGGGAGATAATCATGAATTTGTTAAAAATTAATGGCATTTTTAAAAAATCTTCTTCTCCATAACCGCTGGGCCAGGAAAGATGAAACTCATGTGGAATCATCCTCAGATAGTGTAGATTCAAGTTTGTTCAAATCATGACCCCAGGGGCAAGGGTGGGGCCAAAATGGCCGACCCAAGTTTTACATAGGAATATATAGGAAAAATCTTTAAAAATCCTTCTCAATTACCACTGGGCCAGGAAAGATGAAACTGCTAGGGAAGTCATCCTCAGGTAGTGTAGACTTTAGTTTTTTTTAAATCATGACCCCCGGCCCTGGGGATAGGGTGGGGCCAAAATGGCCGACCCAAGTTTTACATAGGGATATATAGGGAAACCTTTTAAAATCTTCTTTTCAAGTACTTCAAAGCTATGATTAGTGATACCCAGGGTATTTATATGGAATCATCCTCAGGTAGTGTAGATTCTAGTTTGTTCAAATGATGAACGCCTGGAAGGGGGGGGGGGGGTAAATTCAAGCCCGATGTGCTCAGGTGAGCGCTGTGGCCCCTGGGCCTCTTGTTTTCTGATATCTCTGTATTTCTGTAAAATAGAAACCCCCTGTTGAAGCCATCAGATATCTTGTTTTTTGCTGATATCTGTATATCTGCTTTCCAAAGATTGATGCTAAGCCCTCAGATATCTTGTTTATTGCTGATATCTCTATATTTCTATTTATTAGAAATCCCTGCTTAAGCCGTCAGATATCTTGTTTTTTGTTGATATCTCTATATATATATTTACTAGAAACCCTGCTGAAGCCGTCTGACATCTTGTTTTTTGCTGATAGCTGTACATCTCTATTTTCTAGAAACCCCTGCTGAAGCCGTCAGATATCTTGTTTTTCGCTGATATCTGTGCTGGTCCTGGTGGCTTTAGTGAGTATGTCTTATGGAGAACCAAGGGAGATGCTAAAGGCTTTGGGTTCACCCTGAAAGGTCCGTGTGACTTCAAGCTGGAGGATTTCTTCGCTGGTCCCCCTGAAATGTTCGAGCCTCACTATGGTGCAAAGACAAGTTTATTTTTAATTTTTCGATAAAGTTTATCTAATTCTTGTAGATATTTGAAAATGGGGGTAAATAATAATACATATACGGTATATAATATTCCTGTTTATCTGTATTAGAAACTTGGTAGATATTTTAACAGGTTAACAAGTGTGGGTGTAATTGAAGGGGGGGTTACAGATTTTTCTGTTTATTTTGATTAGAAACTTTGTTGATACTTTAACAGGTGTGGGAGGAATTGAGGGGGACGGGGATATTTTTAAGCCTGAGAACCAGGAAGAATTTATCAAATTCGTCAAAGAAAACACAGACAACAAAGGTGTCTACTTTGTGATGGCTGATGGGGTAGGTTTCCTTATTTTTAATGTCACTTCATTACATAGTAACTCCTGTACCAGAGTACTAATCATGTATTCTCAATATCATTATTTTTAGCTCAACTGAGCCGAAGGCTCAAGTGAGCTTTTCTGATCACATTTTGTCCGTAGTCCGTCCGTTTAGCTGTCCAGCTGTCCATCCGTCCGTCTGTAAACTTTTCACATTTTCAACTTCTTCTTAAGAACCACTGGGCCAATTTTAACCAAACTAGGCATAAAGCATTCTTGGGTGATGGGGAGTTTAAATTGTTAGAATAAAGGGCCAAGTCCCCTTCCAAGGGGAGATAATTCAGAAAAGTCAAAAATAGGGTGGGGTCATTAAAAAATCTTCTTCTCAAGAACCATTGAGCCAGAAAAGCTGAACCTTATGTGGAAGCATCCTTGGGTAGTGTAGATTCCAAATTGTTAAAATCATGACCCCGGGGGGTAGGGCGGGGCCACAATAAGGAATCCAAGTTTTACATAGAAATATGTAAGAAAAATCTTATTCTCAAGAACGAGTGGGCCAGAAAAGCTGAAACTTATGTGGAAGCATCCTGGGGTAGTGTAGACTCTAAATTATTAAAATCAAGGTGGGGGTGGTGCCGGGGGGGGGGAGGAGGGGGTTAGGGGGCCACAATAGATATAAGAAAAGGGGAAATCTGGTAAAGAACAGCATCACCAAAGTTACTCAGGTGAGCAGTATGGCCCATGGGCCTCTGTTAAACATCATTATGTGATGTAAAGCCTCATGCTTGGAATGTTTTTTATTGAGTCCACTTCTGGTTGAACTCAATCCTGTTACTACTTTTGTATCTAAATGCAATCAATTCTGTTTTACAGGGTTTCTCAGTTGAAGGACAAGAAAACATTCAGGAGATTTTGTCCAAACAGCTTTATCTTTGTCAGTTCTTAGTTGCCATATCCATTCTTAGACCAGGTTTGGAATACTGTGTATATTTTCTCAAAAAATGCAACAATATTTTATTTTAGTGGTTATCATATGAAACACTTTTTGTGTCACTAATACATGTACCTACAAATGTATGATAAAAACTAATAAATCTCATTGTTAGAACTCTAGTTTCCCAATTGATGATTGCGCTAATCAGTTGAAGCGGACAGTTGTGCTAAATTTTCAATACACTAATTTATCTTTGTTTAAAGTAATTTGCCTGAATACACGTATTTGTAAGTTGTCCATCAGTATTTTCATTCAGTCATGATAAATCTATTTTCAGTTAATGAGGTACGTTTTGATATTTTGTTAAAATCATTACAGGTGGTCACTTTGTGTGTAAGTTATTTGACCTCTTCACCCCCTTCAGTGTCGGGTTGATCTACCTAATGTACAGAATATTTCAAAAAGTCTGTATCTGTAAACCTGTCACCAGTAGACCTGCTAACTCCGAGAGGTAGGTTCAACATGCTCTGTATTCTCACTATGCTGGTGTTATTCTTGGCCAAAAACCTTTTTTGAAGATAATCACATTTTACATGTAGATTAAATGAAAACAATTCCTGAAAAGTTGCAGTTTATTTTTCACTGATTAACACTGGAGTTAGAAGGAAAACTTAAATGACATTGAACATTTTTTCAAAAACAGTAGTCAAAATTTTGAAATCAGTTGTAACATATGATAAAATTACAAAATTTCTTATTGTTTTCTTTCTCCGTGGTAACAGGTACATAGTTTGCCAGGGTCTCTGTGACGACAGTGACCCAGTCAGACAATACATGCACGAGGTTAACCTGGATTTAAATCAACTCCAAGTCTCCACGTCAACACAAGATGTCTGCGAGATAGTCCCGATGGATGATCTACACGCTGATCAGTGCTTCTTTAATTATATGTACGAATCCAATGTAAAGTAAGTCAAACCTTAAAATGTAAGACTTTGAGGTGTAAAATGATATTTCTCTTTAGCAATAAAATTTTTGCTTAAAATGGTCTATGTATAAATTATTCTAAGATTCTTTCTCTTATCCTTAGGTGAAGGGGATTCAGGTTTGTTCAAATGAAGGGCCATGCTCCCTTTCAAGGGGAGATAATTAGGAATTTGTAAAAAGGTAGTGATGTATTTTAAAAATCTTCTTCTCAAGAACCACTGGGCCAGGAAAGATGAAACTCATAGTGAAGTATTCTCAGGTGGTGTAGATTCAAATTTGTTCAAATCATGACCCCTGGGGTAAGGGTTGGGCCGTAATGGATGAGTAAATTTTAAATAAGAATACATCAGAAAACCTTTAAAATTTATAAAATCTTCTTCCCTAGATCCCATAAGCAACAGAGTTTTGATTAGTTACATTAATATGCAAGCAACCTTATTTAGTGCGCATTCAATTTTGTCTAGTTTTTGCCCGTACGAAATGATAACAGATTAGGTTTACCTTTGTTTATTTTTTTTTTCGATCGGGCGCGGTGTACCTAATAAATGAAAACGAGGCTCACTCCTTCGGCCATTTTTGATGTGGACGGCGAAGAAGTAACCGAATTTTAGTGTTTACACGGAACTGAAACAAAAGTGTTCATTGCTGATTGTTGTTTTTATTCTGTAAGGTTTGAAGAGTAAAGGATTTAACTGAATAATTACAACCTTGCGTATATTTGTTCATGCAGCATTGATTTGTTATTATGCAGTGTTTAGGCACAGCGATCGTACTGCGCAGTTGAAGTCTCCTTCGGAGAAAAGTCACATGGAGGGACAACTGCACTTTACCGGTACGTCCAAATAACATGGAAATAGCACGTGTTCCTTCTCTATAAGAGAGTCACGCGTCAGCGTGACGATTTCGCTAAAAAGGCAATAAAATGCAAAAATAACCTATTTTTTGAATTCCTCGTCATTTTTCATGTTAATAAACTTCGTTTAATTAACGAAGTTATTAATTAAAACTAAAAGCACTTTCAAAACAAACCTTTGGCTTTCATTTTGTCGGCCACATTCCAAAGTCGTGACGTTGTTAAGCACGTGACTTATTTCAGTGCTGTGATTGGTCAGGGTAGGTGACGTGAAATAGAAAGTTTGACTTCCACTCTATTTGATTGTAAACAGTGATTCATCATGCACCTTATTTAAGATGATTTGTGTTGTGTTTTCTATGAATGGATATTTTTAATTGACTGACTGCAACATACTAGAATTTTTGGAAATTTTAGCGATAAATGTGATCCTTAGTTTATGGAAATGTTGAATAAGTGGAGGGGCAAAACTTGTAAACATGCAGTGAGGACGGTCTTGTTTCGAGAAACAGCAATCGGCAGTATAAGAAAAATGAAACGTAAGAGTCACATCTTAGATTTCTGGAAACAGAGCTGCAGTAAATCCTGGATTTACGAACTAAAATTTATCTATTTCAATTTGCAAAACACTGGATACTTTACAATCATTGAGACCACATGGAATGCAGTTATATAGGAAATCTCTACTAAAACAAGAATGCACTAGGATAGTGGCTATAATTTAAAATTGACGTTTATCTCCTTCATCACCCATAAAAACGTATTTACAACTCATCAAAAAAAAAAGACACAATGGTTCTACATGTATAGTGACACGTAGGTGTGGCCCCGAGTCTTAACGCAGATTTATCTAACGACTAAGGTAAGTTTGTTTTATTTATTTTTACTATTGGGGCTGCCGCCCCCACACCCCCGCTTAAAAAAGCGAAAACCCATTTAGATATCTTTTTTTCTCGCTTCGAGA